TCCCCGGCATCTCCAGTTAAAAAGGACCAGGCAGGAGGTGATGGGAAAGACCCTCCGCCCGAGACCCTGGAGAGCTGTAAAGAGGGGCTGTGGCTCAGTTGAAGAGCCTCTGCTTGGCATGCAGAAGGTCCCAGCTTCAATCCCCGGCATCTCCAGTTAAAAAGGACCAGGCAGGAGGTGATGGGAAAGACCCTCCGCCCGAGACCCTGGAGAGCTGTAAAGAGGGGCTGTGGCTCAGTTGAAGAGCCTCTGCTTGGCATGCAGAAGGTCCCAGCTTCAATCCCCGGCATCTCCAGTTAAAAAGGGCCAGGCAGTGGGTGATGGGAAAGACCTCCACCTGAGACCCTGGAGAGCTGCTGCCAGTCTGAGTAGACAATACCAACCTTGATGGACTAAGAATTTGATTGGGGAGGATCATGGCTCAATGACAGAGCCTCTGCTTGGCATGCAGAAGGTCCCAGGTTCAGTCCCCAGCATCTCCAGTTAAAAGGACCAGGTAGTAGGTGATGCGAAAGACTTCTGCCTGAGGATGCATGAACAAAAGCATTGTGTCCAGATCACGGGAGGTGGTAGTTCTGCTCTATTCTGCTATGGTCAGGCCTCACAAGCTCAAGCGTGTCCAGAAGAGGGCAACCAGGATGGTGAGAGGGTTGGAATCCAAGTCTTATGAGGAAAGGCCGAAAGAGTTGGGTATGTTTAGCCTGGGAAAGAGAAGGCTTAGAGGGGACATGATTGCAGTCTTCAAGTATTTGAAGGGCTGTCATGTAGACGAGGGAGCAGATCTATCTTGCTCCGGATTGCAAGACTAGATCGAATGGGTGGAAATGACAAGGGAGTTGTTACCGGCTAAATATCAGGAGGAACTTCCTGACTGTAAGAGTGGTGGAGCAGTGGAACAGTCTGCCTCGGGAGGTGGTGGAGGCTCCTTCGCTGGACGTTTTCAAGCGGAGGCTGGACGACTGTCTTTCAGGTGTGTTGTAGGGCTATCTTTCAGGTATGCTCCTGCAGGGTGCAGGGGGTTGGACTAGATGTCCTGCAAGGTCCCTTCCAACTCTAACATTCTATGATTCTATAATTCTGGAAAGCAGCTGCCAGTCTGAGTAGGCAACGCTGACCTTGGTGGACCGGGGGTCTGATTCAAGGCAGCTTCACGTGTTTCCTAGAATTTGGTATTTCAGGTGATCCACTTGTGCCGATAAAATCCCACCCGGGGTTGACTCACGTCTTAAGCTGGCCATTTCCCAAGGACCAGGTACTGAGCATTTGAGGAGGGGGTCCCTTTCCAGCAATCCCGGGCTCCCCGTGTAAGCCTTGGAGCAAGCTCCCCCACACCCCTGTGTCAATACTGATTCCACCACCACCACCCCCGCCGCCCCGCACATGTCTGCCAGAGCTGGATCAGAAAATAAACAGCTTGTAAAAGGTCCCTGCAAAGGTAGGAATAATGAATGAAAAGCTGTGCTCTGGATCCGGGAGACGCATTCCTCTCTGGCGATTTTTGATCTCGCCATCTGCCGTTTGAAGTCCAGGTTCATTACTTGCGGCTATAAAACGGGGGAACCCACCGGTCTGAAGTTCAAACCGAGAGGCTGCATCGCCACAGAGCCACCTGCTCCACAGAGGTAGGGCAGGAACGGTGCCTCCGGGCAAGTGGCAGATGTGGAGGGACGGCCTGCCGTGCCCCCCCCCTCCATTAAGGAAAGCTGCATTTTGTAAACCCAGTGTGGGTATTCCCTAGACCAGGGCTCCTTCTAAGCTGAGTTAGTGTGAGCTAGCGCACAGTTCTTTAGCCTCCGGCTCACCCATTTTTGATTTAGCTCAGGAAGGAGGGCTCCAGACCAGAGCAAACTAATTTATGTCGTAGCCAAATCACCTGCCCACCAATGCTCCCTCTAAGCTGTGGAATCTTGTGAGCACCGATAATTTAACTTATTTTTAAGGATCTTATTTAACTGTAGTATGTGTTTTATTGTATTTTATACTGTTTTTATTGTTATAATCTGGCATTTATGCCTCTGTTAGCCACCGTGAGCCTTCACGGAGGGTGGGATACAAATTCAAATAAATAAATAAATAAGAATTCTACTTTTTGAGCTCCTGGCATTAAAGTTGCTAGCGAGCAGTTTGGCTACTGCATCGATTAGTCTGCTCTGGAGCCCTCCTCCCTGAGCTGAGATGCAAATGTGTGAGCCGGAGGCTAAAAAACTTTGAGCTAGCTCACACTAACTCAGCTTAGGGGGAACACTGCATCTACAAACTCACCCTTCTCTGTTGGGCTCAGATTCCCACATCCTATGCAGTACAAGAATTGTGGTAGGGTTGTATAAAGAGTGCTCCAAACATTCCCCGAACATGCTCTGAATGTTCTAAATTAATCCGAACATTCCCTGAAATGCTCCGAATGTTCTAAGTTAAGAGAACTCTGTGAGGTAGGTGAGGCTGAGCGTATGGGACGGGCACAAGGTCACCCATCTTAACCAGTAGAACCATAGGGAGAGCCAGTTTGGTGTCACGGTTAAGAGCGCAAACTCTAATCTGGGAGAACCGGGTTTGATTCCCCACTCCTCCATTTGCAGCTGCTGGTTGACCTTGGGACAGTCACAGTTCTCGCAGAGCTGTTCTCTCAAGAGCAGTCCTCAAAAGAGGGAACACTGCTGCTCACCACTTTAATGCTAGTAGCTCACAAAGTAGAATTTTTGCTCACAAGACTCCACAGCTTAGAGCAGGGGGTGGCCAAAGTTGCTTAACATAAGAGCCACATAGAATAAACGTCAGATGTCTGAGAGCCACAAGGCATGAACAAACATCATACGATTTTACTGGGGTAAAGTAAAGGTAAAGGTTCCCTTGCTCGAAAGCCAGTCGAATCCGACTCTAGGGTTGCAGTGCTCATCTCTGTTTCCAAGCCGAAGAGCCAGCGCTGTCTGAAGACGTTTCTGTGGTCATGTGGCCGGCATGACTAAACACCAAGGCGCACGGAACGCCGTTAGCTTCCCACCGAAGTGGTACCTATTTATCTACTTGCAATTTCTTGCTTTCGAACTGCTAGGTTGGCAGGAGCTGGAACTAGAGACGGGAGCTCACTCCGTCATGCGGCACACTTGGGTCTCAAACTGCTGAACTACCGACCTTCCACAGCCAGCAGTTCAGCGTCTTAACCCCTTGAGCCACCACAGCTCCTTTTACTGGGGAGAAGTACGCAAATTGGCTTTTTATTAACATGACATGAGACCGCCAAAAAGAAGAACAGAAGTGGTAAAAGCAGCTATTGATCTTGATTTGTCCAGTGAGATTTGCCTGCTAATGATACTCAGCTTCCCCAGCCGCCCTGCTGGGAGCCGCACGGTATGTACGAAAGAGCCACATGCGGCTCCCGAGCCACAGCCTGGCCACCCCTGGCTTAGAGGGAGCATTGCTGTAGACGGGTGGACATGTGGGCTGCCAGAGAAAGGAGCTAGGAGGGTGATGCTCTTGTGTTGAATGAGAACTCCTCACCTTCTTGGCCTTGTGCTCTCGGAAGCCTGAATGAAGCATAGTGGTGGGTTTGTATAGGGGAGATCCAGTGTTAGCCAAATTGCCTTAAATCGTTATTAAATATGGGAAGTTATGATCTTAAATCGGGCAATAGCCGATTGCGGGGGCAGGCATCTGTGTACACAGGGGTTGTGTTTCCTCCAGACACACCAAAGAGACGCTGAGACTGAGGTTAGTATAAATTGGATGTGTTTACTGAAGGTATTTCAAGCATACAGTAACACACGCACGCACACAGTTACACAGCATTTAGGAAATATAGGTAGAAGAGCATAGCACATTCGCATTAGCAGGATGTTTCGATGATGGGAGATGCTCTGCCTGTCTGGAGTTGGATGGAGCGAATCTCAGGAAAATGAGGGGGGCCATGGGATGCCGGGGGAAGGGTCATGTCCTGAGCCGGCAGGTGCACGATGAGACTCTGGCTGCGCAACCAAGACCCAGAGACTTCAGGTAGGAGGGGATTAGGTAAGGGAGCAAGAGTGCAAGTAGACGAGAGAGCTGGTGCTGAGTGCTCTCTTTTATAAGGAGGTTGAGGGGTGGGGGCTAGGCTTGGCCACCTCTCTCGGCACACCTCCTGCTAGTCTGTCCCAAAAAATATGCTGATGAGTGCTGGGGTCGAAGGTCTGCAAGAGTGGGCAATGTTGACTCTAACGGGAAACTAGTTTGGACAATGGCACCTGACGGGATTATGTCTTGTGTTGGCCAGAGCCATTGTTCTCTTGTTGTCTTATGGCTGCAGTTTCGACTAGGTTCTGGGGCTCAGGCCGGATGACCGGCCAGAGTCCTGTCAGCGAGCATCACGGCCGAGTGAGGATTCGAACCCTTGTGCGTTGGAGGGTTCTGGTCTTGAGCTACGCCAAGACGTATTGTGAGCCCCCTGCACCATCACACGTTGGGCGGAGCATCTGGTTCACATGAAGAAAGTTCTGGAGGGCGGCTCGATTTGATTCCAGGAGCACCCCAGAGAGCAGCAAAAAAATTTTTTTTCGGGGGGGACGAACTCTCCAGAGTCAAAAGTTCCCTTTGCATTACTCTCGAAAGCATATCCCCCCAAAAGTCTTGTTGGTCTCTAAGTTGCTGCTGGACTCAGATCTGACGCACTCGAGACATCCTCTGGGCTGGGGAAAGGCAAGGGCGGCAGATGAGCAGGCTCTTCCACTCACACTCATCTTAACATCTATATATCTAATTCCCAACATGCCCCCTCCGTGCGGATATCTAAATCCGCACGTCGGGGGCACTTGGGGGGCAGGGAGATTTCCCTGCACGTTTGGGGCAATCCCCAGAGGTGCAGAAAAATCTGAAAACTGTAAAAAAAATATAGGGGGGGTATTTAAATCCCCCCAAAGTAAAAGAGCTCTGAGAACGGCTTCACCACCACTGCCAGGGAGGTGGCGGGGGCGGGAGAAGGCTTGGCCGGTCAGCGGCTGTAAGCAGCTCAGCCCTCGCCGCCGCCCAGGGAAAAGGGAGAAAGTTTGGTGGGCTGAGCTCAGGCCTTGCCGCTGCTGGGGGGGGGGAGGGAGAAAGCTTAGCGGGCTAAGTTCAGGCCTCGCCGCCGGTGCTGGGGGGGAGGAGGGAAAAGGCTTGGAGGGGCGCGGGCCTCGCCGTGGGTGCTGGGTATGGGGGGGAGCTTCTCCCCCCCCACGAGTATCACGGGTCCCCCTTCTTGTAAGAGCCTAAAAGAGAAACCAATGTTGGATCAGGCCAATGGCCCATCCAGTCCAACACTCTGTCACACAGTGGTCAAAAATACCAAGTGCCATCAGGAGGTCCACCAGTGGGGCCAGGACACCAGAAGCCCTCCCACTGTTGCCCCCCAAAGCACCAAGAATACAGAGCATCCCTTGCCCAGACAGAGAGTTCCTATAAGAACGTAAGAGAAGCCAATGTTGGATCAGGCCAATGGCCCATCCAGTCCAACACTCTGTCACATAGTGGCCAAAAATACCAAGTGCCATCAGGAGGTCCAGCAGTGGGGCCAAAGAGTGATTAACATAAGGAATCCACGGCCACAGGAAGTGGTGGTGGTGACTACAAGCTCAGAAGGCTTAAAGAGGGGATTGCGGGAATGTATGGAGCAGAAGTCCACCAGTGGCTGTGAGCCACAAGCAATGCTCCCTCTAAGCTGTGGAGTCTTGTGAGCAAAAATTCTACTTTGTGAGCTCCTGGCATTAAAGTTGTGAGCGAGCCATTTGGCTGCTGCATAAATTAGTTTGCTCTGAAGCCATCCTTCCTGAGCGAAGGCAAAAATGTGTGAGCCGGAGGCTAAAAAATTATGAGTAAGCTCACACTCACTCAGCTTAGAGGGAACACTGACCACAAGGTATAGATGGAACATTCTGTCTGGGGCATTGATGCTCTGTCTTCTTGGTGCTTGGGGAGCCACAGTGGGAGGGCTTCTGGAGTTTTGGCCCTGCTGGGGGACCTCCTGATGGCAGCTGGGTTTTGGCCACTGTGTGGCACAGAGCGTTGGACTGGGTGGGCCACTGGCCTGATCCAACATTGGCTTATCTTATGTTCTTATGTCTGGGGCAAGTGATGCTCTGTATCCTTGGTGCTTGGGGGACCACAGTGGGAGGGCTTCTAGTGTCCTGGCCCCGCTGCTGGACCTGATGGCACGTGGTATTTCTGGCCACTGTGTGACACAGAGTGTTGGACTAGATGGGCCATTGGCCTGATCCAACATTGGCTTCTCTTATGTTCTTATGTGTGGAGCAGTGATGCTCTGTATACTTGGTGCTTGGGGGGCAAGAGTGGGAGGGCTTCTGGAGTTCTGGCTTCACTGGTGGGCCTCCTGATGTTCCCTGGCCTTTGGCCATTGTGTGGCTCGGAGTGTTGGACTGGATGGGCCATTGGCCTGATCCAACATGGCTTCTCTTATGTTCTTTTGTTCACACTGTGAGGCTGTCGGCCCCAGAGATCTCGGAAACGGGCCCCAATTCATAGGTAGGCTGGATTTCCTCTTCAGATTTGCCAGGCTGAGCCACCTTCTGGACGCCACCCCCCCCCCCCCGCCCACCTCGCCATGTCCTCATTCCCCGTTGTTTGGCTTGGAGCATAAAGGAGATGAGGAGAGGTGCTCTGTTGAGGTCCCGTTTCCCCGGTTTCTGACATAACAGAATGTGCCTCCGCCTTCAGTCTTGAAGGAGCTCAGGGGACAGATGGGGCAGCAAAGATCGGCACATACCGGCTCCCCCCTTCGAGCATTTCCTCTGTTCCCTTCTATGTGTCGACAAAGGAGCATTTCTGGAGTTTGGACAAGACGGAGAACAAAGTGGCGCCCCGACTGGTCCTCCAGGTGTGGGACAACGACAAGTTTTCCTTTGATGACTACCTGGGTGAGTGGAGAGCTTCTTCACGTCTTGTTGCAGATGTTCCCCCTCCAGCTCCAATAGTGTTGTCTGCTGCAGAATTTCTGGAGTTGGAGTTATTCTTACGCAGCGTTTGCCGCTTTCCAGTTTTCCATCGCTGAGGCCAGTTCTAGTGAAAAGTTACATGTGATGCAGGGGTCCCCAACGTCTGCCTTTTCTGGAGCCCGCCAAGTGCTTATAGCAATTGGGTGGGGTTAGGCAGGGCTTGTCGCCTAGCGGTGCTTCTGATTGGCTACATGGGTTAAAAGCATCCTGTTAGATGGAGCTTCTGCCTGAAACGTTAAAGAGTTACTATCAGAGTTAAATATAAATGTTGTGGTTCGCCCCACCCGCTGTTGCAGCCATTTTGTGGTTGTGCCCACCACTCCGTCTTGGAATTCCAGAGGCGCCCGCAGGCTCAAAAAGATTGGGAACCCCTGATGTAATGAATAACAAATCAACAACTTTATATTTGATTTCTTCAAGCACCCATGGGTGTATGCCATCTAGAATTACAGGCCTGTGAAATTTCTGTTTGCCTAGTGGTCCTGGAGCTTCATTTCAGACAGTCTTCCCCAGAAAGAACGGCTCCAGTACACATACACACATACACACCCTTGCTAAGTGATGTACAGTTTTGTTTAGTGTGTGTGCTAAGGCTGCCCATGGGAGGCACGTCCAGCAGGTCATCCTATGACAGGCCCGTAACTACCATGGGGCTTTGGGGGGGGGTTCTGCCCCCTTTCTTAAAGGCACAGCCCCACAAGAGTTTCTCCTGTAAATGCTTTTTTCAATCATTTTAAAACATTTTCTAAAAGGCGTGCACTCCTTTAAGTCGAGTGGGGTGCTGTAGTTGAGTTACATTGAGCAAGGGGGTTGGAGTAGGTGACCTCTAGGATTTCTTCTAACTCTGTGTCAAGAAACTGGTCTCCTTTAAGAGAGGGGTTTTTTTTGCCTAAGTGTTAGCTTTCTTGACTATAGAAGTCATCACCACCCCCACCTGCCGGATTGTTTTCAGAATTGTTGCTTAGGCTGGCAGAAGTGATTAACTTGCAGCAGCTGAGAACTGTCATCTCAAGGGGGCTGACAGCTTGCAATTCAGAGATCTCTCCCGGTAACAGCTTTCTATTGGCTACATGGCTTTTCTTTCTGCACTGCCCCATCCAGGGAAAAAAAATTGCCTCACAAGCCTCAGAATCCTGGCTACGGACCTGCCCTATGACCTCTGTGCTGCCCCTCTTGCCCTGTTTGCGGTTACTGCCGACTGCTCTCTGGGTGGCCTCCGTCCTGTTGGCACTCACCCATGAAGCAGCTTCTGCTTAAGCTCACACAGGCACGTTAGGAAGATGAACTGAATGTTCTTCTCTGTGGTCTGCGTGCCTCACACCGGAGGCCTTTCCAAGCTCTGCCGACCAAAACTGTTTAACCTGGCGGGGCTGCGAAGTGAACTTGGGACTGCCTGCAAGAAAAGCAGAGGCTCTGCCCCCACTCGGACCTAACCCTGCCCTCTGTTTTGACTAGGGCGGCACCAAGAGTCCCAAAGCGAGCCTTGTACGGCTCTTCTTGCCCACAAATTATACAGCAATTTCGGTCACCCGTGGCGAGCAGTGACCTGAATGACATTTCTGAAAGTTGGTTTTTCTTTTTCATTGAAGCCATGAACAATGAACAGGTAGCTCCTGGCAGCAGAAAAGAGTCAGAGTCCAGGAGCACCTTAAGGACTTACAAAATTTGCGGCAGGGTATACGAGCTTTCGTGCGTCACCGCTCACTTCCTCAGATACTAGGAGTACTAGGAGACTGACGAGATCTATTTGCCAGCCTGTTTCTTTTTATACATCAATTTATTTTAAAAAAACTATTGGCTGCCTTTCTTCCCTATGGAGCTCAGGGTGGTTTACAAACACCTCCAAGGACGCCAGACTGGCTATCACCAGATCTAGGGCCTTCCCAGTGGTGGCTCCACACTGGTGGAACGAGCTCCCGGAGGACATCAGGGCCCTGCAGGACCTTCTACAGTTCCACAGGGCTCGTAAAACGGAGCTCTTCCACCAGGCCTTCGATTAGGAGCCACCACTGAACGAGCTAACGAGCTACTGAACATCTATTACTGGCACTTTCTTTGGGATACTGGTCTAGTCAAAGGGGGCCAACGACAACGACTGCCATCTGCACTTTATCGTTTGTATTTAATCTGCACTTTATATTTTATTGTTAGAATTTTATCTGCTTTTTATTGTAAATTATTATTGTACGCCGCCTTGAGCCTGCTTGTCAGGCAAGGTGGGATAGAAATCGAACTAAATAAATAAATGAATAAATAAATAAAACATAGAAGAAAATAGAAGAAGAAGAGAAGATTGGATTTGTACCCCACCCCTCACTACCCGGAGTCTCAGAGCAGCTTACAGTCTCCTTTCCCTCCCCTTCCCCACAACAGACACCCTGTGAGGCGGGCGGGGCTGAGAGAGCTCTCTCGAGGACTGCTTTTGAGAGAACAGCTCTGAGAGAACTTGTGAGTGACCCAAGGTCACACCAGCAGCTGCGTGTGGTGGGAGTAGGGATTCAAACCCGGTGCTCCCAGATCAGAGTCCGCGCTCCTAACCACCACACCAAACCACCACACCAAACATCAAGCCCAGCATCTGGAATCACTACTTCATAAAGCCTTGTATCAGTGGGGGGGGGGGGTCAGAATGCCTTGACCTGGGTGGCCCGGGCCGGCCCGATCTCGTCAGATCTCGGAAGCTAAGCAGGGCCAGCCCTGCTCACAACTTGGATGGGAGACCGCCAAGAATGTACCTCAGGGGCACAGGCTTCCTCGGGAGGTGGCGAGCTCTCCTCTTTGGGAGGTTTCCAAACAGAGGCTAGATGGCCCTCTCTGACAGCAATGCAGATTCTGCGGATTCAGGTGGATCCTGAGAGGGAGGGCAGGAAGGGCTGCCTCAGTGCTCAGTTCTCGTGGCCCTTTCTTCCACGCCCAGGGAAATGCTGATCACCACTTAACATAAGAACATAAGAGAAGCCCATGTTGGGTCAGGCCAAAGGCCCATCTGGTCCAACACTCTGTGTCACACAGTGGCCAGAAATACCAGGTGCCATGAGGAGGTCCAGCAGTGGGGCCAGGACACTAGAAGCCCTCCTACTGTTGCCCCCCCCAAGCACCAAGAAGACAGAGCATCACTTGCCCCAGAGCCCCTATCTATACCTTGTGGCCAATGCTCCCTTTAAGCTGTGGAGTCTTGTGAGCAAACATTCTACTCTGAAAGTTCCTGGCATTAAAGTTGTGAGCAAGTGATTTGGCTGCTGCATAAATTAGTTTGCTCTGGAGCCCTCCTTCCTGAGCTAAGACAAAAATGTGTGAGCTGGAGGCTAAAAAACTGTGAGCTATCTCACACTAACTCAGCTTAGAGGGAACCCTGCTTGTGGCTAATAGCCACTGATGGACCTCTGCTCCATATGCATATCTAACGGAGCAATTTTGGGGTCAGGGAGCAATTTTTTCTCCAGGCCAGTTGGTTGGAGATCCTGGAGGTTTTTCGTTATCTTCTGGGCGTGGAACGGGGGTCACTGCGGGTGTGGAGGGGGAGGTATTTGTGAATTTCCGCATTGTGCAGGGGGTTGGACTAGATGACCCTGGAGGTCCCTTCCAACTCTGTGATTCTATGATGCCAAGGGTCACTGTGTGGAGGCAGGCACTGGCAAGCCACCTTTGTTCCTCTCTTGCCTTGAAAACCCTGTGGAGTCAGCGGCAACTTGAGGGCACTTTCCTCCACTACCTGTGGGAGGAAGGGGGGGGGACACGCTATGCAAATTTACCTTCAGCCGCCCTGAGCCTGCTCGCAGGGAGGGCGGGGTATCAATCAAATTAATAAATAATAAAATAATAAATATGAATTCACATTTTTGTTGTTGTTCAGTCGCACAGTCGAGTCCGACTCTTCGTGACCCCATGGACCAGATCACGCCAGGCCTTCCTGTCTTCCGCCGTCCTCTGAAGTCTGCTCAATTTCATGTTCGTTGCATCGATGACACTGTCTAACCATCTCATCCTTGGCCGTCCCCTTCTTCTTTGACCTTCAATCTTTCCCAGCATCAGGGTCTTCTCCTCCAGTGAGTGCTCCCATCTCATTGGGTGGCCAAAGTATTTGAGCTTCAGTTTCAGTATCTGGCCTTCCAGGGAACAGTCAGCGTTGATTTCTTTTAGGATTGACTGATTTGATCTCCTTGCAGTCGAAGGGACTCTCAAGAGTCTTCTCCAGCACCATCGTTCAAAAGCATCTATTCTTCGGCGCTCGGCCTTCACATAAAGATAGGGAAAAGGAGAAGGGGGCTGCAGAAGATGAGATGGTCAGACAGTGTTATCGAAGCAACGAACGTGAAATTCAGCCAACTCCAAGCACGGCGGAAGACAGGAGGGCCTGGAGTGAGGTGGTCCGTGGGGTCGCAGAGAGTCAGACTCAACTGTGCAACTGAACAACCACAACATGGATCGCTGCCCCAAAACACCCACCTCCCCTTTGTGTCCCTTGGCCTTGACTGTACACAGGTTCGCCCAACAGGCCGACCCTGCTTGCCCGCACCCAGTCAGCCTGCTTTCTTTGCCCTCCACATTTCGCTCTCTGCAGGCTCCATCCAGCTGGATCTCAACGGCATGCTGAAGCCCGCCAAGACTGCCGAGAAATGCTCCCTGGACATGCTGGACGACCCGGCGAGACTCGTCTCTCTCTTTGAGCAGAAGACGGTGAAGGGCTGGTGGCCGTGCGTGGCAGAGGAGGGGGAGGAGAAGGTCATTGCGGTGAGTGTCTGGAGGCAAAGCCCTTGGCCTAGGGTTGCCAGCCTCCCGGTGGGGCCTGGGGATCTTCCGCTTTGACAACTGATCCCCAGAGATCAGCTCCCCTGGAGAAAATGACTGCTTTGGAGGGTGGACTCATGGTATCATTGGACCATGCCGAGCCCTCCCCAAGCCCCGCCCTCTCCCGGCTCCACCCCCAAAGTCTCCAGGTAGTTTCCAACCCAGACCTGGCATCCCTACCTTGGCCACAGAGAAGGGGGTGGCCAGATCCGGCCACGATGTCACTTCATCCATCCCCCAAAAGGTGTACTCAGAAAGAATCGCCCCTCACTTTTTCTTGTGGGGTCAGTGGCTTCCAACAGATGAAAGGAATTCTGCACTTATTACTCTCTAAAACACCCTGTCCGTGCCCGAGTGCATGGGCCCCAGGAGTGCAAATCCCATGGGCATCGGGTGACTGCTTAAAGTCGGGGGGGGATGGCGGCAGGGAGAAACATCTCCTGTGTTGTGGCTCAAAACCCACACCCCAGAAAAAGGGACACGTGATCCCGAGGGGCCCCTCCCCTGGATGGCCCCGGCTGGCCTGACCTCATCAGAACCCAGACACTCAGCAAGATCGATCCTGGTCATCAATGTTCCCTCTAAGCTGTAGAGTCTTGTGAGCAAAAATTCTACTTTGTGAACTACTAGCATTAAAGTTGTGAGCAAGCGTTTGGGCTACTGCATGAATCAGTTTGCTCTGGAGCCCTCCTTCCTGAGCTGAGACAAAAATGTGTGAGCCAGAGGCTAAAAAACTGTGAGCTGGCTCACACTTAGAGGGAACACTGCTGGTCATTACTTGAATTGGAGACCACCAGGGAAGTCCAGGGTTGCTATGCAGAGCGAGGCAAGGGGAAACCACCTCTGAACGTCTCTTGTCTTGAAAACCTTAAGGGGTCGCCACAAGTTGGCTTTGATTTGATGGTGCGTACTTATTGTCCTGACTTGGATGGCTCAGGTCATCTGGATCTTGTCAGGTCTTGGAAGCTAAGCGGGGTTAGCATTTGGATGGGAGACTCACAAAGAACCCCAGGGTTCCTGCGCAGAGCCAGGCAATGGCACACCCCTCTTGCGATCCGGAGCAAGAGAGACTAGATCCGCTCCATCTTCTACATGACAGACCTTCAGATACTTGAAGATGGCAATCATGTCCCCTCTAAGCCTTCTCTTTCCCAGGCTAAACAGACCCAACTCTTTCAGCCTTTCCTCCTAAGACTTGGACTCCAAGCCTTCCAAGCTTGCGGACTGACAGTGTGGTTTGTCTCTTCTGAGCCTGCACATCACCTCTAGTGGCGCCACAAAAGTCGAGAACCTCGTTAGCGGCTCTTGGTATTTGCCCCTCTGTCCCCCTCCTCCCCCGCGTTTCACGCCCTTCTGTCTTTGTCAGGGGAAACTGGAGATGACCCTGGAGATAGTCAACGAGCAGGAACAGGACGAGAGGCCGGCCGGGCTGGGTCGGGACGAGCCCAACATGAACCCGAAGCTGGAAGACCCCAAGTAAGAGGATATCCCGTGGCCCCGGCATGTCACGTTGGCCCCAGTTTGCCCATCTGCACTCTCCATCTAGGTAAAGGTAAAGGTTCCCCTGCTCGAAAGCCAGTCGAGTCCGACTCTAGGCTTGCGGTGCTCATCTCCGTTTCCAAGCCGAAGAGCCAGCGCTGTCCGAAGACGTTTCCGTGGTCATGTGGCCGGCATGACTAAACACCAAGGCGCAGGGAACGCTGTGACCTTCCCACCGAAGTGGTACCTATTTATCTCCTTGCAATTTCTTGCTTTCGAACTGCTAGGTTGACAGGAGCTGGAACTAGAGACGGGAGCTCACCCCGTCATGCGGCACACTTGGGTCTCGAACTGCTGAACTACCGACCTTCCACAGCCTGCAGTTCAGCGTCTTTAACCACTTGAGCCACCGCAGCTCCTGGTACTCTCCATCTAGCCGTGAGCAAATACATACAAGTTGGTGAAACGAGCCCTGGGGGGAGCATCAGAGCTCCAGAGGAGGCTTCGTTTGCCAACGTCACCTGTCTGGGAATCACAGGACCATAGAGTTGGAAGCAGTGTTCCCTCTAAGGCGAGTGAGTGTGAGCCAGCTCACAGTTTTTTAGCCTCTGGCTCACACATTTTTGTCTTCGCTCAGGGAGGCCGGCTCCCGAGCCAACTGATTTATGCAGTCGCCAAATCGCTCGCTCGCAACTTGAACGCCAGGAGCTCACAGAGTAGAATTTTTGCTCACAAGACTCCACAGCTTAGAGGGAGCATTGGTTGGAAGGGGCCTCCAGGGACATCTAGTCCAACCCCCTGCACAATGCAGGAAATTCACAAATACTTCCCCCCCCCCAGTGACCCCTGCTCCATGCCCAGAAGGGGGGGGAAGAGGAAACCGTCTCCAGGATCCCCGGCCAAACTGGCCTGGAGAAAAATGGCTTCCTGACCCCAAAGTGGCGATCAGCATTTCCCTGGGCATGTCAGAAAGGGCCACAAGCAATGCTCCCTCTAAGCTGTGGAGTCTTGTGAGCAAAAATCCTACTTTGTGAGCTCCTGGCATGGAAGCTGTGAGCGAGCGATTTGGCTGCTGCATCAGTTAGTTTGCTCTGGAGCCCTCCTTCCTGAGCGGAGACAAAAATGTGTGAGCTGGAGGCTAAAAAACTGTGAGCTGGCTCACACTAACTCAGCTTAGAAGGAACACTGGCCACGAGGACTAAGCACCAATGCAACTCTTCCTGCCCTCCCTTCTCGTGGTCTGCCTAAGTTCACAGAGTCGGTATTGCTGTCAGGTGGCCACCTAGCCTCTGTTTGAAAACCTCCCAAGAAGGAGAGCCCACCACCTCCCGAGGAAGCCTGTTCCACCGAGGAACCGCTAAAAATGTCAGTAAGTTCTTCCTAATGTGTAGCCGAAAACTTTTCTGATTTAATTTCAACCCGTTGATTCTGGTCCGACCTTCTGGGGCAACAGAAAACAACTCCACACCATCCTCTACATGACAGCCCTTCAAGTACTTGAAGATGGTTCTCATATCACCTCTCAGTCGTCTCCTCTCCAGGAGTACCTTGGTATTACCGTAGTCCAGTCGTAACCTTAGAGACCAACCAGATTTTCAGGGTATGAGCTCTTGGAAGGCAAAGCTCCCTTCTGACTCGCAAGAGCTCATATCCCCAAAATCCAGTTGGCCTCTAAGGTGCTGCTGGACAAATCAGAAGAAGATATTGGATTTATACCCCATGGCCCTTCACTACCCAAAGGAGTCTCGGAGCGGCTGACAATCTCCTTTCCCTTCCCCTCCCCACAACAGACACCCTGTGAGGTCGGTGGGGCTGAGAGAGCTCTGACAAAAACGGCTCTTTTTCAAGGACAGCTCTTGTCAGAACTTATCAGAGCTAGGCTTGCCCAAGGTCATCCAGCCAGGTGCAAGTGGAGGAGTGGGGAATCAAACCCGTTTCTCCCAGGCTCAAGTGGTTAAGACACTGAACTGCAGGCTGTGGAAGGTCGTTCGTTCAGCAGTTCGAGACCCGAGTGTGCCTCATGACGGAGTGAGCTCCCGTCTCTAGTTCCAGCTCCTGCCAACCTAGCAGTTCGAAAGCAAGAAATTGAAAGTAGATGAATAGGTACCACTTCGGTGGGAAGGTAACAGCGTCCCGTGTGCCTTGGTGTTTAGTCATGCCGGCCACATGACCACGGAAACGTCTTTGGACAGCGCTGGCTCTTCGGCTTTGAAACGGAGATGAGCACCGCAACCCTAGAGTCGGATTTGACTGGCTTTCGAGCAAGGGAACCTTTACCTTTACCTTTACCTTTTACTTAACCACGACACCAAGTTGGTCTACTGCAGACCAGCAGAGCAACCGTCCATAGCTATCTTCATGGAAGGCTGCCTGTCTTGAGTGTGCCCAGCGCCTCTCGTTTGCTGCTTGTGCAGATGGTGGTGAAGGGTTCATGGGTACTGGCTGGCTTGAGGGGGGTCTCTTGCACCCTCCCTGAGCATGCTTGGGACTTTGGAAGATGAGGGCTGAGAGGAAGCCGTCTGGGCGGTCTCTTTCTGCCGATTGTTCTGGGGTCGCCGGACTTCCTCTTCAGCCCCACGTGGTTTTACCTGCTGTGATCATGGCTCTAGGGGGGCGCTAAAGAGCCTTTCGGAGAAATTCACCTGGGGGGAAAGACAGAGGGGAGGGTCCCGTTCATTTCCGCTGTATGGTGACGGAGACCTGGGCTCTGTCGATTTCAAAGGTTTCTGTCCGGCTTTCCCACAGCGCCCGAGGTGGTTTTCGCCAGGGCTTGAGTTTGTCAGGCATCTTTTCCCCACAGAAGGCAAGGAGGGTTCTGCCCCTTTCAGTCCACCTCAGCCTTCCTGATGTATCCAGAGAAACAGAGGCTCTTGCGGGGGTCTCGCTCCCAGCCTACCCAGGGCTCTTTGTGGTTGCAGGCGCCCGGAGACCTCTTTCCTGTGGTTCACCTCTCCGTACAAGACTCTGAAGTACATCTTGTGGAGGAGGTTCAAGTGGGTCTTCCTGATCATCCTCATCCTCTTCATCGTCTTGCTCTTCCTGGGGATCTTCATCTACGCCTTCCCGGTAAGACTTCGGAGCAGTCGTCTCTGGGTGGCGAAACAGTCACCATTTTATTTTATTTATTTATCTGCTTCGTTTATACCCTGCTGTTCTACCCCATGGGAGCCCAAAGTGGCTTATGTCCTGTCCTCTGTGTTATCCTCACAACAACGTGTGAGGTGGGTGAGGCTGAGAGCATGTGAATGTCCCAAGGCCACCCAGCGAGCTTCCGTGAGAGAATGTGGTTTTGCGCCTGGGTCTCCCAGATCCTAGTTGGACCCTCTGACCGCTGCACCACAGCACAGACAGACACATACGTGTATGAGACCTTGGCCTGATCTTGGCTCATGTAGAAGAAGAAGAAGAAGAGATTGGATTTATACCCCGCCCTTCACTTGGAGTCTCAGAGCGGCTTACAAACTCCTTTCCCTTCCCCTCCCCACAACAGACACCCTGTGAGGTGGGTGGGGCTGAGAGCTCTGACACAAACTCCTCTTTTTCAAGGACATCTGTGCCAGAGCTTGTGACTGACCCAAGGTCACATCAGCAGGTGCAAGTGGAGGAGTGGGGAATCAAACCCGGTTCTCCCAGATTAGAGTCCGCGCACTTAAGAACATCAGAAGAGCCCTGCTGGATCAGACCAGGGAGGGTCCATCCAGCATTCTGTCACACACAGTGGCCAACCAGTGCCTCTGGAGGGCCAACAACACTGCCCACCTACAGGTTTACAATATACAGGAGACCTCCCAGCCAGTGTTCCCTCTAAGCTGAGTCAGTGTGAGCCAGCTCACAGTTTTTTAGCCTCCGGCTCGCACCTTTTTGTCTCAGCTCAGGGAGGAGGGCTCCGGAGCAAACTAATGTATGCAGCAGCCCAATCGCTCGCTCACAAGTTCAATGCCAGTAGCTCGCAAAGTAGAGTTTTTGCTCACAGGACTCCACAGCTTAGAGGGAACATTGCTCCCAGCCAATAGTAACATAGAAAATTGACCAAAAAGCCAGGGAGACGCTATGTCATATAGAATACAAAAATGAACAACTATCAACATTTAATACAAGGTATAAAGATAAAGTTCATACAAAATATATTAAGTGCAGTTTAGACAAAATCAAATAAATATACAATATCTCCCTTATATAGAAAAGCCGAATGGTGGTGGCACTTCTCTAGAACATTCCACACGCTCCAGAATTGGTTGGCGCCCTGGTGTGTCACTCAGAATCTGTCCCTATCCACTGGCTGCATTGCTTGAGTCTTGCCTCCAACATTCTAAACAGTTTGCTCTTCCTCTCCCCCCCATAGCCAGTCAGAACACAGAGGTTATTTGCATATGCAGCCTCATTGGCCTTTGCCTCGGAACACAGAGGTCGTTTGCATATGCGACCTGATTGGCTTTGGCCTCTAACATTCTAAACAGTTTGCTGTTCTGAGGTAAAATGTGTCCAATCTCCAGGTGAGGGCTGGAGATCACTCAGAATTCCAACTGCTTTCCAGATGGCAGAGATCAGTTCCCCTGGAGAAAATGGTGGGCTCTGTGTCCTTATATGCTGCTGAGGTGGCCCCCGTATGACAGCCAATGTGACATAGCAGTCAGGGCTTCAGAGCATGGGAGAGGCTGCAGGTGTGTGGGGGGTGGAAAGCTGAAGAGGGGGAAATAAAGGTAGGTTGATGATTGGCTGGGAAGGAGATAGGGTTGCCAACTCCAGGTGGGAAATTCCTGGAGATGTGAGGGATAGAGCCTGGAGAGGGTGAGGTTTCAGGAGGCATGGAACCTTGGACAGACACAAAGCCATAGACTCCACCCTCCAAACCAACCATTCCCTTCTGGGGAAACATTGTTGCCAATCTCCAGGTGAGGGCTGGAGATCACTCAAAATTACAAACTGTTCTTTAGGTAGCAGAGATCAGTTCCTCTGGAGAAAATGGTGGACTCAGTGTCATTATACCCTGCTGAGGTCGCCACAGCAAATTGACACTGCGTGTCCAAGGCCGGGGCACCCGCACAGAGCCTCTTTCTAGAGACCATTGTATTTATTTCCACAACGGGCCTTTTTCCTAGTAGGTAAATAATTCTTAATACTAATACACGTATGATAACTGCAGGTAAGTAGACAATAATTCTGGTAAGTAGACAATAACGAAGGCTCCGGATTTTCTCTTTGTTTCGTAATTCAAACTTCCTCAGAAGTAAATATTTCTAGCAACAAGGTAAGATAATTTGTGTGGTTTAGGGATTCAGCAGGCTTCTGCAAATGCTTGAAAAGCAAAGTTTGGTGATTGGGGGACATGACCTGCCGGCTGTTGGTGGGGAGCCCACATGTTCTGGATTGTCAGACCACCAATGGCTACAGGCTGTGAGCACAGGCTCAAAATGCGGTCCAAGTCCTGGAAGGGAGGGAGGATTCAGACAGAAAAAAGTTATATGTTTGGAGAGAATGACCTTCTCGTCTGCACAGAGATGGCCTCTCTGTCCCTCTAGATACCGAGTATGGAAGGCGGAGGGCCGAAGATGTCCTCCAGAACCGTGTCTTGTAGCTCCAGCTCCTCGGAAAGGCGGCAGAACTTGCTAGCCTGCTAGTTAGCTGGAGTTGCAGGGTGGAAACTTGTTGCATCACTGTGCCAAGTAGGGGAGATTATCCTGGAAAATCTGTTAAGCTTTAATCGCTTAAATATGGAGAAGGATAGTTTATAGGGATCCGTGCAGACGGAGCACTTATTATCAGAGCTCGCTGTGAGCGTTCCACACACACACACACCCCGCGGGCCATTCTGGTGCACCAGAGTTGGGGAGGGGAAGCAACGGCAGCCTCATTAATCAGGACAGGAGTGTTTCTGAGCTCCTACCCCACCTCCATTTAAATTCCATTTGCAAAAGTCAAGCTGACTCCGATCCAAATCCCAGCTGGCCAACTTGTGACGGGATGAGGCTCCAAGGCTCTCATTTAAGGTGCTGAAATAATTCATGCTGTGCGTTCGAGTGTTCTCTCTCACAGGCTCCGGCCCGATAAGGAAAACCATCTCCTTTTTTTGTTTGTCCCACACATCACAAATCCTGTGGCTGGTGTATTAAAAACATACCTGTTTGGGGCTGGCTGAGCAAGACGGCAGCGGCTGGGCCGCGCGGCCGAAGAGGTGGCGATGGCTGGGTCCTTTGGGGCTTCTCGCATACTTTGTTGCCCCAAAGAGCACTGCAGGAAGCGCCCCCCCCCCACCCATGACAGTTTCCCCATCGCCCCGAACACATTAGTTGGCCAAGTATTCCCCCCCCCCCGGCTCATTAATGGCTGGAATCATCTGGTCCGGCTTAACTGACGAGCTTCCCAGGCCGGCCCAATGAGGCAAAGGAGCCAGATGGCAAAACGGCAGGCGGCTGCTTTCCCAGGCCGGCCGGCACGATGGCGGGAATGCATCGGTTTGGGTGTGCGGCTGGTGGGGAGACTTCCCAGCAGAGCCTGGAGGAGTTCCCAGTCTGGGGAGGCAACAGGGATACTCGCATTGGGCCAGGAACACGGTGGAGCCCCGCAGGTTGTCTCAGGTGGGCCGCCATGCCGGTGTGCAGGAGATGAGCAAGACTCAAGTCCTTAAATGTCAACGAGTATTTGACAAAGGGACCCTTGACTCTCGCAAGCCAGTTTGGTGTAGGAGAGCCAGTTTGGTGCAGTGGTTAGGAGCGTGGATTTTGATCTGGGAGAACCGGGTTTGATTCCCCGTGCCTCCGCATGGAGCTGCTGGTGTGACCTTGGGTCAGTCACAAGTTCTCTCAGAGCTGTTCTCGAAAGAGCTCTCTCGGCCCCACCTACCCCACAGGGTGTCTGTCTATTTATTTATTTAATTAATTAATTTGCACCACCCCCACCCTCCCCACAAAAGCAGGCTGTTGTGGGGAAGGGGAAGGGATTGTAAGTTGCTCTGAGACTCCTTCAGGTAGTGAAGGGTGGGGTATGAATCCAATAAATCCAATCTCCTCCTCCTCATCTTCCTCTTCTTCTTCTTCCTCCTCCTCCTCCCTGGGAATCTTGTTGGCCTTTAAGGAGCTACGGGACTCGAATCATGCTCCTCCGCAAGCTGGTGCCCCCAACAGGAACACTTTCTCTTTAGGCATCAAGTGCAGGCAACAAAATTTATTTATTTTATTTATTTATTTATCATTCGACTTGATATACCGCCCTAACCCTGTAGGGGTCTCTGGGCGGTTTACAATTCTTGGGTGGAGGCTCGGTGTCGTTCACTTTTCCCGGCTCGGCTTCTTCTTTCGGCTGTGAGATGTCCCAGTGCTTAGGCAGACAGGCGGATGGATGGATCGCCAGCGACGGTGTCCTCAGCCCGACTGTGTCCTTCCGGCTCCGCGCGCCTCCGGATGACGTCACTGCGCCTCCATCCTCCGTCGACGACAGCTGCCCTGCTCTTCCATTGCTGGCCACCAGGGATCAGTCCCCTTCTGGCTCTGCTGCCGCCGCTTGCCGCCTTCAGCGTTGCACCTCCTCCTCCTCCTCCAATCGTCTGCTGCTGCTGCTCCGCTGTAGCCGCCGTTCTCGCCATCGCCATTGCCGCCGCCGCTTCTCCACACACACCTCCATGGGAGGAGGAGTGTGCCCCCCACCCTACTAAGGGTGGGTACCCATTTATCTACTCGCCGATAGGTAGTTACTTGGCTTTCGAACCGCTGGGTGGGCGGGAGCTAGGACTTAAGGGTCGAGAGCTCACCTCGACCGCGGTGGGACTCGAACAGGTGCTCGAGTTGATGTTAATGCAGGCGTTATACTGCCTGCGCCACCGTTCCTGTTTCAATATGCTAAGTCGCTCGTTCAGTGACCACCTGACCTTTTCCCTCAGGGATGGCCAGCTGGTGGCCCGGATGAAGGATCGGGGCCCCATCCCGTGGTTCCTGGTGACCTTAACAAATTTTGAATCAGGACTGAGATAAAATTAACTCATAATCGTGTTCAGGCCGTGAGGAATAGGATTTCCACTTCAGGATTCTGTCTCTCTCAGTAGTTTTGCATGTAGGGACCAAAATATTTTGGCC